TATCATGAGCGAGGGCCGCCTGCAGTGCTCTGGCAGCAGCTTGTTCCTGAAGTCGCGGTTGGGACTGGGTTACAACATGACGATGTCTCTCACACCAGACGCTGACGTTGGGGAGTTGAGTGAGACCGTGCGGTGTTTCGTCGATGGAAGTACACTGCTAGGCGTCAATGGCTGTGAAGCCTCTTATCTTCTCCCCCTTTCACAGGTCGATGTGTTTTCTGATCTTATTGATGAGATTGAGGCAGATAAAGACGCTTACGGTGTCCGCGGCTACTCCATCTCGGCGACGACGCTTGAAGCAGTCTTCCTCCTCGTCTCAGGTAGCAGCCTTCGTGAGCCGCAACTGGGTGGGTCTGTCTTGGTGGAACGCGAAGACGATGATATGCTGTACGAAGGCTCCGTGTGGAACTGTGACTTTGTAGAGGGCGGTGCTGCTGTGCGGAGCTCTCAGGCACGTGCAATGTTTGTGAAGCGTTTCTGTAATGGGCTGCGTGACCGCCGCATGCAGTTCTTCCAGATTGTTTGTCCTGTCGGGTGCATCCTCTTTGCGATCCTCCTAAACATGATTGATTTCTCCGGGGCGATGCGGCTCAGCCTTGATCCCAGCCTCTACGGATCAGATGTAATGATGACGACATCCGGGTGCGAAAATCTTCTGGTCGACAACTTCTTCAATGGTGGGGTGGACGAGAAAGGGTATTTGAACGCCCAAAACCTTTCGTGGTATCTCGTCGACACGTGGCACACCCACCCGTACGAGCAGTACGGTGCGCTGTTTTGCAACGACGCCGACCTCTTAAGCCACACGAGTGGGTTGAGACCGATGGTGCACTTGTACAACACGTCAACATTCCACCAGGCAGGCATAAGCATGACGGTCTTTTTCAACTCCATCTACAGAAATCTGATCTCTCCACCACTGACAGGCAACAAATCCATGAAGTGGGGCGTCAGTGTTTTCCCTCCGACCGAGTGGGAGCGTCGGTCGAAGGACGCGCTCAAGACGATATTGATGGGTGCGATTATTATGATTCCTTTTACTTTTTTACCCTCCAACCCGGTTGCGTGGGTTGTGAAGGAGCGGGAATGCAAAGCGCGCCACCTGCAGAACGTGTCTGGGCTGCGGTTCTACGTTTATTGGGGCACAAACTTCGTGTTTGACGTTGTGGCGTACGTCGTCACGATGCTACTCACTATTATCATCTTCTTGATATTCAATCGCCAGGAGTACGTTGCGGTGGATCGCATAGGCCCAACTATCACCCTTCTTCTTACATACGGATTTACAAGCACGTCTTTGGGCTACTTGATCAGCTTCCTCTTCAACGAGCACTCGACTGCACAGATGGTTGTGATGGCGGTGAGCTTTGTGACAGGGTTCCTCCTCGTGATGGTTGTCTATATCTTATCTTTGCTTCCCGGTACCTCCAGCGTAGCTCACTCATTTCGCTTTTTCGCTCGTGTCCTTCCGACCTTCTGTGTCGGTGAGGGAGTTGTCAACCTTGCCATACTCGATATCGCACCGTTGTTGGGATGGAATTGGACACCATGGGGCATGGAAACAATCGGTTGGGCGTGTATCTATATGGCTGCAGAGTTCCCTGTATTTTTTTTCCTCACGCTTTTCATTGACCACCCCAGTCGGCGCAGGCTGGGGCACCAGCTGTCGTACAAGCGGCAAGAGACCCCCGAGATACCGTTTGATGAGGACTCTGACGTGGAGGCGGAACGGGAAAGGGTACAAAGCCTTGAGGGTGACGAGACAGAATCGCCAGTGAGCGTGATAAACCTGCGCAAGGTGTACGGAAATGGGAAGGTCGCCGTGAGGAACCTGACGTTTGGTGTGAAGCGCGGGGAGGTGTTTGGATTTCTTGGNCCCTATTCTGTTTCTCGCGGCTGAGTTTCCCATCTTTGTGATGCTGGTGCTCTTCATTGATCATCCAACGCGACGAACGTGGTGGGGGCGGTCTTCTTATCATCGTAACGTGGTGTTCGAAGATGGGAATGTGGCGTGTGACTCTGATGTTGAGGATGAGCGGGTCGCCGTGTACGAGGCTGCGGGGGAGGGTGTGGATGAGGGCGTGGCGACTGTTCTTAATCTCCGCAAGGTGTACCCGAATGGCAAGGTGGCTGTACGCAATATAACATTCAGTATCATGCCTGGGGAGGTGTTTGGATTTCTTGGCACGAATGGCGCGGGCAAGACGACAACCATCTCAATTCTGTGCCAGGAGTTCCTGCCGACAAGTGGGTCGGCTGCGATCTGCGGCTACGATGTTGTTGAAGAGGGAAAAGAGGCATTGCAGTGCATTGGCTACTGCCCGCAATTCGACGCGACGCTTGACCTGCTGACTGTGGAGGAGCACCTGCGTCTGTACTGCGGTATCCACGGCATTGTGGAGGACATGCATGAAAGCGTTGTTGAGGCACTGCTTCAACTGTGCGACGTCGCCAAGTACCGGAAGACGCTTGCGCACGAGCTGAGCGGTGGCAACCGGCGCAAGCTGAGTGTGGCGATATCGCTGGTCGGTGGCCCGCGCGTGGTGCTTCTTGACGAGCCGTCGGCTGGCATGGACCCTGTTGCGCGCCGCGGGCTGTGGACTACGATCCAGAAGGCAGCATCATACTGCTCTGTCGTGCTGACAACGCACAACCTGGAGGAGGTGGAGGCGCTGGCTGATACGGTGGCGATCATGGTGGATGGTTCGCTTCGGTGCATTGGTGACAAGGTACACCTGAAGAACAAATACGGCAGTGGGTACGAGATGCATATACGCATTGCTAGGGCTGAAGCGGGTGAAGCAATTGAACGATTTGTGAACGATGTGTTCCCCGGGGCTACACTCAACGAGTTTAGGGGGCATCGGTTTGTGTACGCGCTGCCACGTGATACCGCGTTGAGTGACGCGTTCCGCATTCTCCAGATGAACAAGGAGGCTCTTGGCATTACGGACTACAGCGTGTCGCAGACGTCGATCGAGCAGGTATTTCTCCGTGTGAGTGGGGAGGAGGTGTGAGCTCCCCGTGGCTGGTGTGTGCAATGTGGTTCATCTTTTTTGTACAAGCTTGCAAGAGGCAAATGTGCTGTTGTTGCCTTTTTTCATTTAGATGAGTTTAGTCATTCATGCGATTGTTGTTAACAGTTTTGTTGTTAGCTTAATGTGGCTGTCTGTGAGTACGAGTTTTAATGTGCCTATCGTTGGTCGTGTGAATGAAATTACAGTGGCTTCATCCGTTTTGTTTTTCTGTTTTGTGTGTTGTGGAGGAGCAGGGGATGCGGACGGCACCCAGTTTTCCCACACACCTTTTTGTTTTTTGATCAAGGAGCCGAAACACCATTCATATTGTGTCTTTCGGGTTGATTACCTGCTGACATCATGCAATCCTTTTTGTTGTCGGTGCTTTGCGGGTGTGCTAGATGCGCTGACTGCGCGTTTCGCATATTGTTTTATTGCGTCTTTTTGTTTTCTTTGGCAGGAATTTAGACTGAAATGCGGGCTGGGCTGCTGCCGAAGTGGCGCAGAGCACCGTGCAGAATGCGACATTCGTCTCTCGTGGGCGGAGGCTTTTGCGTTGCTAGACGCTGCTACGGTCCGTCGAAGGAGGGCGGGCAGGGTGTGGGTGTGCCGCTGTCGACAGTGGAGCTGCCGGACATGTTGGATATGGACGAGGCTATGACTATCAATGTGTACCGACCGCACAGCGAGGAGGAGGCGCCGCTTCAGGAGGCAACGCGTCGGTTCCTCTGTGTTCTCATAACCACGCCAGCCGAGCAGGAGTGGAGGGACATGCTGTCTGCCGCGATACGCCACAACACATGGCGCGAGCATCACGTCCGAGCGGTGCTGCGAAGTGTGCACGGGACACAATACGAAGACGGCAGTGCACGTGCTTTGTGTGGGCTCTCGAAGTGCCCAACCAGCACGCCCGGCATGCGTCTTGAGCGCGCTGTGGGTGTTGTGCAAACGGGTGTGGACGAAGGTTACCGTGCAGAGTCAGAGTCGGTGCATGCGCTGCTTGTTGTTCTGCTGCGCGCCTCCTTGCCGGACCCAGCTGCTGGTGCAACGGGGGCGAACACAAAAACGCCCCCTCTGACCACTCGCGCCGCCGTCTGGCAATTCCTTGCATGGATGGAGCGGCATGACTACCACGTGCTGTCCGATGCTACACTGCGAGCCCTCGAGCATGTGGCTGAGGACGATGCGCTTGGCGCCACATCCCAGCAGCTGGCGAGCAGCGTTCGTCAGAACCGTTTGGAGTATCTGAGGAGCGAGCATGATCGATTGTGCCAGGGTGACACCGCAACGAGGAGAAGCCAACGCAGGGTGGGGAGAGTGCTCCCAGTGGCTGAGCCGGATGACGGCTCTGTGTAGGGCAGTGCGCGTTGCGGTGTTGCGTTTGCATTCTTCTCTCATCCTCGCTCCGTTGTTCTGTGCGCGGTGTAGCCGCTGGGCCCACCACCTTGCGGATTTGTTTTCGTATTTGCTTTGCACCACAGAACACCACAACATACACACCCACACAAGTTCCAATGCAGTCTCAAGTAAGCATGGTGGCGCAGACTCCCCCTGTGCCGCGGCAAGATGCGGGGCACGCCGGCAGTGCGACGTGGCCGCCCAGTTCATCGAATTTCTTGCCGCAGGGGACGTTGGGCGACCAGCGCAACCGACTTCCGCCTATCCCTGGGCCCCCACAAGCCGATGCGGCCCCCGGGGGCTCGCTGAGATTTCCTCCACCAGATGCCTACACTCCGCCCCCGGGGGCCACTGTGTTCTCTCGGGAGCACACTGGCCGAATCCCCCGAGGCAAGTTTTTTGTGCAGCTAGGCTCCACGATGAGGCACGTGTGTTTGCTGAGGTGGCGTTCTCCCTGCTCAATGTGCTGTGAGATTATGACTCCGTTTCTTTTTGTTTTCGGAACCGTACTCCTTTGGGGGCTCTTCCGGAACGAGCAAGGGAGCCCAGGGAACTACTTCGACAGCTCCGCCCCTAAGGACTACAGGGCTGCAATGGATGCCCTGCATGCGTCTGTGTGCTATAACGCTTCGATGGGTGAGATGAGTGGCGTGCCTTCGTGCAATCTTTCGGAACCTGGAAAGTTGCTCTGCGTGGATGGAGATGATTTCCTCGCAGGGCTGTGCTGCGGGGCGAAAGAGGCTGCTCCGTTATTCATCTTCTCCAACATGCTGGGTGGCCGCACGGCGGCCACTCCGACGTTTGACGACGTCGCGTTGCTGCGTTTGCTAAAAAGAACACGGAATTGGAGGCTGTACTTTGCACCAGTGTCCGCTGCCACTGCTGCCCTGGTGGAATACTTCAACACCAGCTCGCGGTACTTTCGCTACGTGTATGGTGGGACGTACGGCGTGGACGCTGCGGAGTCATTGGCACGCGACAACCCTCCTATCTGGGGCATTGTGCAGGTCAGCGACATGTCGCCAGAGAAGTTCGATGTGACGATTCGTCTGAATGCATCGGAGCTTCCAGGAACCAAAAAAATGCGCGACGAAATTTATATTGGTGGACTGAACACCGGATCCGGCGAACTTTACATCAGCTCCGGTTTCATTACGCTTCAGAGTGTTGTCTCCAGCTACTACCTCAACAGAGTCGTACAGGTGCCGAATAGTGAGATTTTGATGTACACACCTGCACCTACAGCGGCGTATGACACCCAGCCGTTCTTTTCGGTCAGTGGGGAGTTGGTGCCTCTCATTGTGGTGATGGGCTTCCTTTACCCGGTGTCGCAGCTGACGCGACGCCTTGTCCTCGAGAAGGAGTTGCGCATTCGCGAGGCTGTGCTGATCATGGGGCTGTCGGAGGGTATCATGTACCT